TTCATCATCACTGGTGGGGTTTTTGGTTTAGGATTCTTATCAGAGAGGTGATATACAAGTCCGTCCAGCACCAGGGGGTTAGTTTCAGTCCCACATATCTGTTTCCTCGCCAACAACCAGGATAAGCCTCAAAGAATGCAAGGCTCAGAGTCACTCAAAAGTCAAAACTTCATTAGGGGCTACAGAAAATATCCAATCAATCTCAAGAGAATAGAAATGGGATATGATGCAAGGATGGCACTACATTTTGAAGATTGATTTCTACAAATCTCATGTATTTAAAAATGATTTTTGTGCATGTGCTGCTCTGCAACATGTCAATATAAAAAACCATACATTTATATTTTAACTTTTGATGTTCTTCTTCTAGCATTTACAAATAGAAAGAAGAAGACGAGTAAGAAAATGGAAATGCCTAATAAAAGCCCTTGTCCAAGCGTGATGCCATAAGAAGAGTAGAACATGCTCTCCAGCTTCTCCTGCAATTGAAAAATATTAATCAAATTAGGCCACTATGTAAGAGTGTCAACATTTCTTTAAACACCAAATGGAGGTGGGCCAAAGACAGTACGTTAAATCCAGAACTACCCACTTCATCCTGCACCATGTACAAATATTAAAATCAGTAAATATGTCAAGTGAAAGCAGCTCTAAACATGCACAAGATGCATCTAAAGTAGCCATAACCAAAAAGTCAACAGCTAAGATAGAAGTGTGCTTTATATATACAACACAATAAAATATCAATCACTCCGAAAGCAAATTTTGATAAGGTAACAAAAACTGTCAATTACTGATTGCTTTGTAACTATGAAAGATTAAAACATAAACAAAGAACTGAAAGCAGTCATGAAGAATCGCAATTGTGCTTGTTAAAATTTAAGCCAAGGAAAACCTGATGCTCTGAAAATAAAAATGTATATTTGCTCAGCTAGGGACAAACCCAGAAAATGCCAGTAGAAAGTCTTTATGCACTCTAAATTCTTCTAACTTGTTTTCTCAAACAGTTTTTTTTTTTCCGTTTCCAGTTTAAAAAAATAAAAAAATAAATAAAAAATTTAACAATTATCAGTGTGGAACTCACTGAGTATCACCAGAGAATTAAAAAGCCAAAAAAAAAACAGGTAGAAATCAGCATCTTGGATAATTTCTCACAGATGGCGACTTACTATTGAAGCTAATTTCTGCTTTTGTTTCTCAAAGATGTCCAGGGCATACTTATAAAGCTCTAAATCAAGGCTATTAAGTGATCTTATCTGCTGCAGAACCTCTTCAGGAACTTGAAGACGTGCCTGCAAAATTTCATGGGTCAAAGAAAAAGTAGCAGGAAAGGGATACCACAGTTTAAACAAAGCCAACAAACATAAGCAAAAGCAACTCCAACACAATCAAAAGAATTGCAAAAGTGCTTTAGAATGAAATGTGCATGGCAAGGAGTTTATTTTAATAACCTAGAAATATCCTGACAAAAGCACCAGGTCCAAAGCTCAGAGATGATGGACCTCACAATTTTCAGTAGTTAAGAAACCAGTGACATATAACAATAATATCAAGATCATATCGTTGAGCCCACCTCTCATATTAGTAAGGAGAATAAATACTTGTAAGGGAAGAAAAAAGCCTCTAGGATATAAGCTTTATATTTCTTAAACGTAACAACATATAAATAAAAAATGTTTATTACTCTTTCAAAACCATCACGGTCTGGGTGG